TTGCTTTGCTATATGATATCCCTATTAGTCATTTCATGTTTTCCTCCACTTAAACCTCATACTCTGTTTGAAACATCTGTAAAAATATTTCAACACGAAAACAATTAGTTGCATTTAATTAACGCAAATCCTTACCAGAATTTCCATTTTTATTTTATTCAAATTTTTCTTTACGCCCATCTTCTTTGTAAAATCAATTAATTTATTTGCGTTGCTCATCCAAACACCTTCATTTTGTTATTATTTAATTTCACAATGTCTTCTTCTTCCCCCTCGCTCCATTTACAATTTAAGTTCATACATTTCCTCGTTTTGTGTCGTGCTCCCCACAAACACACACGCACACACAAATCAACTGATAACAGCATGATCTCTTTTCTCCCCTTGTCATCTGTTAAGAGACTGACCTTACTTTTAAATATTTTCAACAATTAATTGACCAATTGGTTAATATATCTAACTCTTTTTAATATATAACATGAATGCAAAAAAAAAACAAATCTCTTCCTGTCTATGTTAAATGACCATTCCATTACATTTCCTTTAAATTCCTTCGTGTGAAATAAAAACATTTACTGTTATTATTATTGCGGGCACGAGCTGACACACGCACGCACATACACACCCTTAACATATGTTATTCACGTGCGTAACAAGAGCGATCTCCGTCTTTGACACTTGTCATCTTCTAAAACCACAACGGTAATAAGTATATCTCTTTTACACATTTCCCCTTTTGTTAATGCGCCTAGACATTGATGGCACACTTGTGCTTTGTTTTGAATTTCTTGTTCCGTTCTCCCAGAAAGAGATCACCAGAGTGTATTTTTCTTGTTTTGTTTTGTGGTAACAGAAGCATGCAAAACTCATTGATCCCCCCATACAAACAACAAACAAAAATCATATGGTAGGTTGTCGTTGCAAAATACCAAACAACTACTCTCTCTCTCTCTTTTGCCATATTGGCCTACTCATTCTCTCGGTTGTTTATATTTTTCTCCCTCTACTCGAAGAGTTCTGTGTGTGTTTGGTTGAGCCATGTCTTCGCCTGTTATATTATCATTGGCATACTGTTATTGAGTATTAGTAGTGAGTTAGCCGTCTTCCGGTTAAGTTCGTTTGTTTCGCTGAAGAGTTTAAGGTAAAAAAGAAAACGTTTTTACATTGTTTTTCTTGTTACAACGAAATAATAACAAAAAACAACATGATCAATTTAATTTGAAAAAAATTAATGATTTTTAAATGTAATATTGATTTTTTTTTTTGAAAAAAAAACATGTTACAAATGAAATTCCATGCAAAAAAGAAATATGTTGATATTGTTGAAAAAAAAAATGATTTATTCAAAAAAAACCTAAATGAAAATTATTTTATTTAATTTTACAATTTATTTTTTTTTTGCCCTTATAGAAAATTGTTAGTCCTTGAACCGTTTGTTTTACCAAAAAAAAATCATAATTGTGCATGCCTGTCTGCTGGCTGGCTGAAATTGTATTTCTGAGATACAATTCAAACGCACACACACACTTAAATGCATTTTTACTGAGTTCTAGAGAAGATATCTTCTTCTTGTTGTTGTTGCTATTGGTATCTCTTTCATTAGCCTAAATTTCAACGTTTTTAAGTCTCTCTCGCTCTCCCTCTGTCTCTTTCTCTATTTTTTTGCAATTTATGAATCATCTGAAATGAAAATTGCTTTGAATTGTTCTGCTACTGCAGCAGAAACATCATCTATGAGAGCAATTTTGCCGGTCTAACGTGCAGTGCCGTGCCATTCAACAATAAAATGCAGTCGAATTTATTGTTGCATTATTTTTAATAATAAAACAAAAAGCAATTCTTTTGATAGTTAATATTTTCCAAGAAAATTTTAGCATACATACTTGAACCGAGAACGTAGTGAATTTTTTTCAAATATAAATTTTTCTATTAATTTTTTAAATCAAAAAAATATAAACAGAAAAAAATATTTTTCTATTAATTTTTTAAATCAAAAAAATATAAACAAAAAAAAATAATTTGTTAATAATTTTTTCTATCGGAAAAATTTAACCAGAAATTTTTTTTCTCCCAACAAAAAAAATTATGTTCCAAAAAATTTTACTTTTTTAATTCATCGAATTTTTTGTTTAATTTTTCTTCCATACATAATTTTTTCTTTTGATTTTCTTCTTAAAAAAATATTGTATTCCAATGCAAAAACAAATCAAATCTCTTCTTGTCTATGTTAAATGGCCGTTCCATTAAGTTCATACATTTCGTCGTTTTGTGGCGTGCTCCCCCACAAACACACACGCACACACAAATCAACTGATAACAGCATGATCTCTTTTCTCCCCTTGCCAACTGTTAAGAGCCGGACCTTATTTGTTTTAAACATTCTTCAACAATTAATTGACCGATTGGTTAATATATCTAACTCTTTTTAATATACCATGAATGCAAAAAACAAGTCAAATCTCTTTTTGTCTATGTTAAATGACCATTCCATTCCATTTCCTTTAAATTCCTCCGTGTGAAATCAAAACATTTACTGTTATTATTGTTAGGGGCACGAGCTGACACACGCTCGCACATACACACCCTTAACATATGTTATTCACGTGCGAATAAGAGCGATCTCCGTCTTTGACACTTGTCATCTTCTAACCGCAACGGTAATAAGTATATCTCTTTTACACACTTCCCCTATTGAAAATGCACCTAGCCATTGAGGCACACTTGTTTTTAATTTTAATTTGTTCCGTTCCCCCCAGAAAGAGATCACCAGAGTTTATTTTTCTTGTTTTGTTTTGTCCTAACAGAAGCATGCAAAACTTATTGATCTCCCCCCATACAAACGACAAACAAAAATCATATGTTAGGTTGTCGTTGCAAAATACGAAGCAACTACTCTCTTTTTCCATATAGGCCTACTCATTCTCTCTATTGTTTATATTTTTCTCCTTCTACTCGAAGAGTTCTGTGTGTGTTTGGTTTATGCATGCCTTCGTCTGTTATATTATCATTGACAAACTGTTATTGAGTATTAGTAGTGTGTTAGCCGTCTTCCGGTTAAGTTCGTTTGTTTCGCTGAAGCGCTTAAGGTAAAAAAGAAAACGTTTTTACATTGTTTTTCTTGTTACAACGAAATAATAACAAAAAACGACATGATCAATTTAATTTGGAACAAATTAATGGGTTTTAAATGTAATGTTGATTTTTTTAAATAAAAAAAACATGTTACAAATGAAATTCCATCCAAAAATGGAATATGTTGTTATTGTTTAAAAAATTGATTTATTCAAAAAAAAAACCTAAATGAAAATGATTTAATTTTACAATTAATTTATTTTTTTATGCCCTTGTAGAAATTTGTTAGTCCTCAAAACGTTTGTTTTACCAAAAAATCATGATTGTGCATGCTTGCCTGCTGGCTGGCTGGAATTTGTATTTTTGAGATACAATTCCAGCGCACATACACAACTGCATATTTTCTGAGTTCTAGAAAAGATATCTTCTTCTTGTTGTTGCTATTGGTATCTCTTTCATTTGCCTCAATTCAACGTTTTTAAGTCTCTCTCGCTCTCCCTCTGTCTCTCTCTATTTTTTGCAATTTATGAATCATCTGAAATGAAAATTGCTTTGAATCGCTCTGCTACTGCAGCAGAAACATCAGCTATGAGAACAATTTTGCCGGTCTAACGTGCCGTGCCGTGTCATTCAACAATAAAATGCAGTCGAAGTTATTATTGCATTATTTTAATAACAAAACAAAAATTAATTTTTTTCATAGTTAATATTTCCCAAGAAAATGTTAGCCGAGAACATAGAAAATTCAGTAATTTTTTTTTCAAGTAGAAAATTTTCTATTAATTTTTTAAATTGAAAAAATATAAACAAAAAAAATAGTTTTCTATTAATTTTTTTGATCGTAAAAATATAAACAAAAAATATTTTTCTATTATTTTTTTTATCGAAAAAATATAAACAACAATTATTTTTTCCTTCAAAAAATAATAATAATAATGTTCCAAAAAAATTACTTTTTTTAATTCATTGATTTTTTTTTAATTTTTCTTCCATACATAATTTTATCTCTTAATTTTCTTTTTTAAAAAATAATGCATTCCACTCAACAAAAACAACCAAAAAATGATTCCAAAAAAACTTCATTAGTTCTTTCAATAAATTTTTTTTAATTTTTCCTACTTTGTTTTTTTTCTATATTTCTTTTTTTTTAATTTATTATTTTTTGTTAATTTTTCTATAAAAAATATTTTAGTCTGTTGTGAATAAATTCTTCCCGATCTGAATTTCACAACATTTTTTGTTTTGTTCTGTTATTCCTCTTCATTTACTTTTTCTTGCTTTGTAAAAGACTTCTTTTCACAGTAGTTGTCTCACTCGTTTACTTTAGCGCCTAAAAGTATGCTCTGATTTTTGTGTGCTTAATTTCTTTACCGTACAGAGATGCTTTGAGTGCATAATAAGATTATTTATTTGTTATAAAAATAAAATTTAAAAGGTCGTTTACAGTTAACCGGATTTGGTTAACCCAGTGAGTTTAAATTTTCAATTCCTTTGAATATATGCCAAATAAATCCTCATAAAGTAGGTTAACCCGGTAAAAAGTTATAATGTAAATGCCGTATAAATTATTGTTGAATTTAAAAAAAAAATAATATTATTTTGAGAAATTAGGGAAATAATAAAAAATAAATATTACCACTAGGAAGTAGAGATGCTTTCAAATGAAAATTAAATAATTTCTTTGGTATATAAAAATTTGCCAAACAATTTTCCACCACAAAAACCGTCATTGCACTTAACCGGACATATATTTTTTTCAAATTTAAATTGTGGCCCTAATGGCAGTTACATACACAAACATACATTTTACGCATACATAAAACATTAATCACAATATTAATTTAAATTACTTTTTTATTGTTATATTAAAAATATTTATTTATATATCATTATACTAATCCCAATATTTTGTAATATTCCCCTATTAGAATACCTACAAGAAGCCGCAATATCGAATTTGTCTGCAACATCAGGAACATCAGTTACAACGCAAAATATTAATAACAACAGCAACAACAACTATAATAACTATCACAACAACAACAACGGTGTTGATGAACCCTTTGATGGACAGTTTGAATTCAATATTGAACTGTTGACGGAAACTACAAACAAGGATCAGGATAAAGAGAATTTGTTGGGGCAGGCTTGTCAGGAGCCAGCACCACAATCACAACAACAACCAGAACAACAACAACATCAAGATATGTCATTAAGTCTCTTATATAACAATACAACAAGTGGCGAAGAGAATCACATTAACAACAACAACCAGAAGAAACAACGAGAAGAAGAAGAGCTACAAAAACAACAGTTACAAATTATATTGGATCAACTATTATTTGGCAGCAATCAAAGTTGCAATAACAACAACAACATTACCACTAATAATAACAACAACAACTCTATTACAATGGCATCCAATGATTTAACTGACTTTTACAACAACAATAACTGCGACGGAGAAAATCCCATCTTCAATTTCGCCCCAAATAGTCAAAATTTAAATTATGATGAATTCGATATGATGGATCCCATCGATCCAATAATGGACAATGCCATCGATATACCGCTATTCAATAATGAGGAATGTACCCTGCTAGAGGATCTTTCACAAAATGCTGCTGCAAACAACAGCCAATCAATTTTCAATTTTGACGATCCTATGTTCTCCAATGCCTCTTCGGTCTTCACATCATCTCAACCTTTCCAACTGGCCAGAAGTTCTTCTTCAATTGCCGAAGAAATTAAGAAAGCCGAACCGTATGTATCACCACCACCCAACCCAAATGAATATTGGATATTGGAAACACCGGCAACATCATCGTCGTCGGCAATGGCCGCCGCCAATGAAACTAATTCGTCGGCCTATATATTCCTTGACGATGCCGATTTGGGCAGTATGATGCAGGAGAACAGTCTGAAACGTCCACAGAGCTCACAAACACAACAACACATGCGGGAGAAACGGGAAAAATTACATTTGGATACGAAACGTCGCAGAGAGTCAGCTGCCGAGGATATGGTGCTGGATACGCCAGGCGTTGTCAAACTACTTGATGATGTAGGTATTTGAAATAACAAAAAGAAAATAAATACTTCAAAATCTTCTTTAGCACATTACACAGATCATCTTAAGTCTTCTGTTTTTTTTTTTTTTTTTTTTTGTTTATGTTCCTTTGTTTTGAATTTCAGTACTTCTTCTCATATCTTTACAATTTTAAAAATATTTTGAATTTACTAATCCATTCATTTTCTCTCTTCTCTTTGCAGATGGCCATTCCAGTATGCCTTAAGACCGAAGAAACATCTAAAGATATTTTCAACAACCTAATTGCCTGCTCTCCCCACGATTCATCGTCATCCTCCTCCAATATCATAGATAACATTAAAACTGAAATAAATTTGGATTACAATTCCAATGACATTACACCACCCTACACCCCGTATAGCGTCAATTCTTCCAATTCAAATCACACCAACTTCTCCGGCATTATTAATATCCTACAACAGCCACATTCTCCTGCCCTTTCGGTTGCTACAACAAGTACCACCACCACCAAACGTGGACGTGGTCGTCCAGCTAAGGTACACAGTGATATGCCCGACCTATCGCAATTGGCACGACTGCCCGAAAGTGAACAGAAGAAGATATTGGAGCGGGCCAAAAACAATGAGGCCAGCCGTAAGTCACGTCTTAAGAACAAGGAACGTGAAGAGGCCCTTGAAAGGGAGGAACGTGTATTGATGCAGCGCCACCACCAATTGAATGAGGAATTGCAGGAATTGCTGTGTATGGAAAAGAAATTCAAAAGGGCTTGCAAACGTAATCGGAAATAAGCCACCATCCATACATACTCACAAACAACTCAGTATCTCTTCAAAAAAGCTATCGGTTCATCGTATCGTATGGGATATATAATCGATCAGTTACAGTCAGTACCTAAAAACAGAATCACCACACACACACAAAATTGCTGCATTAAATAATTAATTCCAAAAATGCAGTAGCCATTGGAATATATTTTTAAGTTTATTTAGTTGTTGTTAAATGGTAATTAATTATAACATTAAGAATAATAAATATACATATATACATACATAAGAGAAGCAAAGCTTTTATCTAAGAAGAAAAAACAACAAATATATACCTACATATATCTTCAAGAATAACAACACAAAAAACCCAATAACAATAATTTTTTAAACCCCACATTTATATATTTGTAATAATTTTTAAGCAACAACTTTTATTGCTCTAATTGTTTTATTATTATTTTTTTAACAAATCCTCTTTATTTTTTATTTGTAGAGGATATACACTGAAAAAAATAAATAAATCTATTATGTGTCGATATTTGAGAGAAAAGGAAAAAAATGTTAAAAAAAAAAAAATTCAATCAATATCTACTTATATTTTTGTAATCTTTTTTTATTTTTTTTTTTATTTTTTTTTTTTTTTTGTTAAAAAAATTGTTTGGAATATAATTTCATCTTTTTTTATATATATGTTTTATAAAAATATAATATACTTGTTTAATTTTTTTATGAAAAAAAAAAAAAAAACAAAAAAAAATACAAAAAATACTGAAAAATACCCTCATATATTATTATTATAATTGTAGAACATTTTATGTATTTCAACAAGAAAATTGTAACAAAACAACAGAAAACAACAAAAAAAATTAATTAAATAAAATATATACACATATTATTATTGAGGCATGTAATGGAGTCGTGCCATTAAAAACACAAATGATTGTCTTTTATTGAATTGAGAAGAAGGTCAAGAGGTCAATAATGTGGAATTCTAAATGTGTTAATTCCCGACAAGAGACATGGATTTTTTAAAGAATATTTTCCCCAGAATTATTTAGGCCTGGAGACGTGGATTTTTTAAAGAATATTTTCCCCAGAATTATTTAGGCCTGGAGACGTGGATTTTTTAAAGAATATTTTCTGAAGAATTAGGCCTAAATTAAGGCCAGAAATAAATAAAAAAATTCTTTTTATTCCGAAATCTATGCTAAAAGAGGTATCTAGTATTGCTAGAGAAATATTTGGCCTATGACCCTTAGTGAAATTTTATGGAGAATAATTTTCCCATTGACGGCAACCTTCGTAAATGATGTGTTGTGTGAAATATTGAGCAAAATTGAAGGAAAGCCCAGAAATAAATAAGGAAATAATTTCTTATTTATATTCAGAAATAAAAGCTGATTTTTAAGTTATATATTGTATAGCTAGAGAAATCTCGTGGTCGATGATCTATAGTGAAATTTTACGCAGAATATTTTTTGGATTGACTCCAACCCTCTAAAATTAAGTCTTGTGGGAAATATTGCTCAAAATTGAAAATAGGTCAGAACTCATATACAAAATAATTTCTTATTTATATTCCGAAATCTAAGCTAATTTTTAAGGGGTATCTAGTATAGCTAGACCTATGACCCTTAGTGAAATTTGATGGAGAATAAATTTTCCTTTGACTCCAACCCTCGTAAATGAAGTGTTGTTGGAAATATTGAGCTAAATTGAAAGAAGGAAATAATTACTTATATATATTCCGAAAAAATCTGATTTTTAAGTTATATATTGTATAGCTAGCGAAATCTTTTGGTCGATGACCTATAGTGAAATTTTACGCAGAATATTTATTGAATTGACTCCAATCCTCTAAAATTAAGTCTTGTGGGAAATATTGCTCATAATTGAAAATAGGTCAGAACTCATATACAAAATAATTTATTATTTATATTCCGAAATCTAAGCTAATTTTAAGGGCTATATAGAATAGCTAGAGAAATCTCTTGGCCCATGACCCTTAGTGAAATTTGATGGAGAATAATTTCTCCTTTGACTTCAACCCTCGTATACTGTCTTGTGAGAAATATTGGGCAAAATTGAAAACATTCTACCCTTCCTCAATTTCGAGGCTCTAAAAGGTTGACCCAAATACAAATTGTACCAAATTTTTTACCACATAGTAAACATAAATATAATTTCCATCCACCTCAATAATTCAATAGAAATCATATTTCCCAAATTTCAGGATTCCTCCCGGATCGGTTCACCCTAAACCAAATTTAGTACACATTAGTAAATATTTTCAAAAACTTCCTACACCCCAAACAGGGATCTTAACTAAAAATTTCAAGATTCAAGCTTTATTGGTTCACCCAACTTGTCCCAAATATAGTACCATTTAGTACTTTTGGTGCACATAAGTACAATAGTGAGCTTAACTGCAAAATTTCAAGGTTCCAGCCCTATCGGTTCATCCAAATTGTACCAAATTTAGTACTCGTGAGTACGAATTCCCAAAACTTCCTACATACCCAAATCCAACACTCCAACAGCGATCTTATTATCAAATTTCAGTGTTAGAGCTCGATCGGTTCACCCAAATTGTACCAAATTTAGTACTTTTCGTACAGATAAGTACAAATTTCCAAAACTACATAGCCCAATTCCACAATCCAACAGTGAGTTTAACTGCAAAATTTCAATTTTCCAGCTCTATCGGTTCACCCAAATCCAAATTGTACCCAACTTAGTACCATTTAGTACGATTTTTTCAAAAACTTCCTACATACTCTAATCCCACACTCCAGCAGCGATCTTATTATCAAATGTTCGTGTTAGAGCTCGATCGCAACACTTGGGTACCAAAAACCACCATCAAGAAACCCATGGTACGATCAGAAGTGTCTTAATGCTACCGATATGAAAACGTAGCGTATAGGGCAACCCTGCAGATAATAGCAACACGCAGTGCAATGGAGAATTATCGGGAGAAAAGGAGAGAGGAGAAACGTATTTTCAGAAGAACAAGAAAAACGAGAGCGTGAGCAAATCGAGATGTACAGGAAGGATTCAGAATGAATTCCGGAAATTTTACCAACGAGTAAAACACCAAATCGATGGCTTTGGTGCCACAGGCACATCCTCCTGATGCAGATGAGGCAGCTCTTGGAGTGTTCGGGAGAAAAATTCTCCGAAAGATCTAAGGGTCGATCTGCGTTGACTGTGATTATCGCCATCGAATGAACAATGAGCTGTACCACCTATTCTCGGACATCGGCATTGTTAGACGTATTGAGCTGCAGCGACTGCGTTGGCTAGGTCATGTTGTGAGAATGGATGAAGATGCCCCAGCCCAAAAGGCATATAAAAGCGAACCAGCTGATGGCTCACGCAGAAGGGGAAGGCCACGAATTAGATGGAAAGACCAAGTGGAAGACAACATTGCCGAATATGATCTTTCAAACTGAAAAAACTGCACAAAAGACCGACGCGCCTGGAAATCTTGTTTAAGCTTGGCTTATGGAAGGAAAGTTGAGTCACAAGCCAGCTAAGAAAGTAAGTAATTTCTTATTTATATTTCGAAATAAAAGCTGATCTTTAAGTTATATATTGTGTAGCTAGAGAAATCTTGTGGTCGATGACCTATAGTGAAATTTTACGCAGAATATTTTTAACATTGACTCCAACCCTCTAAAATTAAGTCTTGTGGGGAATATTGCTTATAATTGAAAAAAGGGTCAGAAATTAATATAGTAAATAATCTCATATTTATATCCCGAAATATATGCTAATTTTTGAGAGCTATATAGTATTGCTAGAGAAATGTTGTGGTCGATGACCTTTGTGCAATTTTATGGCGAATAATTTTCCCATTGACCACAACCCTCAAAACTGAAGTCATGGGGTTAATATTGATTGAAATTAAAAGAAGGTCAAAAATAAATATACAAAAAATTCTAGTTTATTATGGAAATGATTAATATTTTATTTTTATTATATAAAAAAATGTTATGTTATAAAAATTTTATATATATTTTGTCATGTATTTCGTTTTTTTTTTCTTATCAAATTAACAACAGACCTTATAACAAAAAAGAACGGAATTTCAATTTAAAAAAAATTGTATAAAAATAAAAAAAAGTAATTTGGCACTAAATGGTGTCCTAACTTCCAGCTATTACTGTTTATTGCCCTTAGCCGAGCCCTCTTCACTCTTTCGATATTCCGTATAGTCAACGTAGCCATCTTTGTTGAGATCCATGGTAGTCAGGACATAATCAATAATATCGGCTAGATTATCATCGGTATAGGTAGTGCCATCCTTTTCACCAGTTCCGGATTTCTTTTCTTTTTCCTTTTCCTGTTTGGCTTCATCAGCTAAAAATCAAATAAATAAATTCAGATGCATGGGGGGAGGGTTAATAAATGGTATTATGTCCACTTTTAAGGGGAAGACAAAAAACAAGCTAATGTGTTTACCACAACCGTACAATTAAAATATTAAAATTAAAAAAATGCCATAATATTATTTTTGTTGTTGTTTTTCTTTTTTGTTTTCATTAAAATGTCATTTATTGTTGTATTATTCCTTTTTTCATCATCTTGTTATTCGTGTTCATATAATTTCTTTTGTTCGCTTTGCAATTCTGTTGCAGGTGTGTGTGAGTGTTCTTTTTTTTACAAATTTCTTCTTAAACTGAGCTTGGTTTTTGTTGTTGTTGTAATCAGTCATTTTGTTTTAACAATTGTTCTCTTACGCAAAAAGGGAATTGGAAGTACTATAACTTTTTTAAAATTCTATAGTAAAAATAAATGAATTATAAAAGAAAGAAACAATAATATTTTTTTAAATAGAAAAAATGAAGATGCCAATTTGGAATTGCGTTTTTGTCAACATATATAGAGATAGGGAATAAACTCTTTTTTTTTTCTTGGAGATTCTTAAGAAGGATGGGGAGAAAAAAACAAATCATAATATAGTACATGACAAATAATAGCCTAAAAGAAAAAAATTTCTTAAAAAAAAAATTAAATAAAAATATTTAAAAAATTAAAAAAAAAAACAACACTAATGGCCACCAGATTGTGCTTGTTGCTGCTGCTGTTGTTGTTGTTGCTGTTGTGATTTCTGTTGGGCCCTCATAAACTCTGGGTAATCTATGTAACCATCTTTCGACGAATCATCCATTTGTAAGATGGGATCAATTAAAGCTACCAGTTCTTCATCTGTGAAAATTTTCTCCTCCACATGAGGCTGTTGGCCATCATGTCCTTCCTTGCTTCCTTGTTCTGTGGCAGCATGTTGGTGGTGTTATTGCAGTTGTTGTTGTTAATGATGAGTAGTAGTTTTGTAATCCACCGTTAACCATTTTGTTTATATTTAACCAAATACCATTTTAAAGATGAGCAGGCGCATAGGCACACACACATATATAAGCATTATGCGTGAAAATTGTTGATGAATTAAAAGTAGTGATGATGATGCATTTTAATGCGTAGTGGAATTATATGAAAGTAAAAAAAGAAGACCACAACAATTACGTATTACAAAATGTTTAGGGTTTTTTCTAAACTTAAATAAAATGGTATTTTTGTAGCTCTTTGCTTGGAATGACATTCGAACAGAACAAAGTGCAAACATATATTGGAAATTTTCGAAATGTGATTTTTTTAAAATTTGTATTTTAAAAAATTTTATTTTGTTTTTAAATATATAAAGCCGACTCTGAAAAATTATTTAAAAAAATCCTAATGTATATTTTTATTTGTATCCCACTTTTCAAAACAGGATAGGCTTGCAATAAAAACAATACTTTTTTAGAAAAAGTGAATCATTTCAGGTCGCTAAAAAATGGCTATCTCTTAAATATTGGCATATAAAACGTATTGCATTAGGTCATCAGCCGTTATGAAACTACATCGTTCTCAGATATCAGTGTTTTCTATAATTTTGTTTCAACCGATAATTCTCTAATTTGAATTCCTGATATTAATTCTGCATTGCAAAAAAAAAATCACATTTCGAAAAAAAAATCGAACACATAATACCAAATCCAAAAAAAAGTATATCTTACCATGCCAATGAATAAGGGATTTAATTAATTCACAACCATCCAATTTATTATTATTATCGGAATCGTGCATTTTGAAATAATGGAATTGTAATTCAGCTTCGGACATTTTGCTAGTATCGATAGGTACGTGCAAATGTTCTTGAATGTGTCTGAAAAGAAAAAGAAACAATAATGAGAACATCATAATAAAATAAATTTTCTAAATTAAGTTGAAATCAATTTTTAACCAGTAAGGAAAGTAGTAAAGTCGGACTGGGCCAACTATATTATATCCTCCTCCACTATGGGTATATCCCACATACGTATTCTAACAGAAGTCGCCTTTTCGAAGGCGAAACTGAAACTGAAAGTAGAGGCTTTGGTGCTCCATTAACATAAAATCGGGCAAAAATATCTAACTATATCTAAATCTGAACCAATTTTCACGAAACTCTCCTCACATCATTCTAGACTCAATTCAGTACGCTATGCCAAATTTCGTGCAAATCAAAAGAAATATAGAGGCTTTAGTGCTCCATTAACATAAAACCGGACGAAAAAATATATGGGAGCTATATCTAAATCTGAACGGATTTTCACGAAACTTAACACACATCATTCTAGACTTTATTCAGTACGCTATGCCAAATTTCGTGCAAATCAAAAGATATGTAGGGACTTTGGTGCTCCATTAACATAAAATCGGACGAAAATATATATGGAAGCTATATATAAATTTGAACCAATTTTCAGGAAACTTAACACACATCATCCTATATGTTAGTCAGTACGCTATGCAAAACTGAGTGCAAATCAAAATATATGTAGGGACCTTGGTACACAATTTACCTTAAAACGGATGAAAATATATATGGGAGCTATATCTAAATCTGAACCGATTTTCACTAAACTTAACACGCATCATTTTAGACCTAATTCATTAAGTTGTGCCAAATTTCGTGCAAATCAAAAGAAATATAGAGGCTTTAGTGCTCCACTGACATAAAATCGGACGAAAAAATATATGGGAGCTATATGTAAATCTGAACCGATTTTTAGACCTAATTCATTACGTTGTGCCAAATTTCGTGCAAATCGTATAGGGACTTTGGTGGACCATTTACCTTAAATCGGACGAAAATACATAGGGGAGCTATATCTAAATCTGAACCGATAGGTAGGGTTCGTCCTTGGGCCAAATAAATGATCTATTCCAAATCGAAATCGGATGATAAATGCGACATGTTCTTTGTTTACAATTTAACATCAACAGACAGACGGATGGACGGACATGCATAAATGGACTCAGAAAGTGATTCTATGAATATACTCAAAATATATCGATTCTTTTTGCCTGTTACAAACATATGTACCAATACATAATACCCTTAACCACAGTGTGGTGAAGGGTATAAAAATATTTCTAAAAAATTCTAACAAGTATTCCAATTTGAAAAAATATTTAGAAAAACTACCGCTTACTGATGAATTTGAATAATTTTAATAAATTAAAAAAAATGTATATTCCCTTAAAAGCCTAAACTGATTATTTTGAGGAGTTTCAAAAGAAATGAAAACATAAACGAGGATATAAAAACGATTAAATAGATACAAATTCAAATGAAGTAGCCACGCTTGGCTTAAAAACTATTTTTGCCACCAAAACTAACTATAAATAATAATAATAAGACATAATGCCGTTTGGCACCGTGTGTGTCTCAGGTAAAGTAATACGTATGCCCAACTATTTTAATAATATAAATAATTTAATAACATAATTTGGTCATTTTAAATGTCAACTTGTAGTTGGTGGTCATTTCAAGAAATGAGAAAGACATTTCCTGTTTGTGTATTTTGTTTATTGTAATGGTCAATGGCACCGATTATATTGGCCACAAATAGTGATGTGTTATTGTCATATACATAGCTTATCTATTTTGCTTGATAAGAAGGAATATTTTTTATTAATAATATGTTATTGATAAACGTATGGCGTTGTATTGGTATTTGTGTACTTGGACAAATTGTTATCTATCTGCAAAATCACATAGATTTGTTTGTAAAAAACATATATTTTAGTGGGACTAAATATTAGCGTTTTTTCGACAGGTTTAAATTCTAGATGAATTCCAAATGAATACGATATTTCAATTCCAGAAAGGTTCACGATAACTAGTTATTAATTTTTTAATTATTCCTAATTTATATTTGGAATAATTAAAATGTCTTTGTCTCAATTCTGGAGTTTATGGATGAGGGAGACAATATTTAACCTGTCTCACACACAGTCTGACAACTGCGCAAGTAATATTGTCGATTCAATTAGGTTCTTAGGAATTCCTATTTTACGTAAGATTCTCATCGTATATTTCTTAATTCCACATTCAATATGGTAAAAATTCCCGTCGCCTGGTTAATGGACTTACTCTTTTTCATGTTGAATATTAGCAGCATTTAAAACTTGTCCATGATTAGCGTGATGACCACCATGGCCTTGAGGAACTTGTTGGTGTTGTACAGGCACTTGTTGTTGTTGCACTGGAACTTGTTGAACTGGTACTTGCTGAACGGGTACTTGTTGAACAGGTTGTTGCATATGGACTTGTTGTTGCTGTTGTACCGGTACCTGTTGGTATTGGACTTGCTGCTGCTGTTGATGTTGCTAAATCAAAGAAAAATCATAATTATGGACCAATTACAATCAAAATTTAAGACATTCCACTTACATATTGTTGTGGATTAACACCTGGTGGTAAATGATTGGGATGTACTTGTTGTTGTTGATATTGTGGTGGATGCTGTGGGTGTTGTTGTTGATGCTGCACAGGTTGTTGCTAAACGCATTTAAAAAATATATAATTAATATAATTTAACACATGTTTGAAAAAAACATTAATATTTTTCAAATCTTCACATCCATTGTTTCTTACATAGTGCTGTGGATTAACACCGGGAACAACACGCTGGGCATTAACACTAGCCCCAGCCAACAAACACAGGGCTATAATAATCTTTAACATAATTACAATATTTATCGTAGAGATTATATTAAAAATATTTTTTTAAAAATACAGTAGCGGATTTCTTTGGCACAATCTGCTATTCTATAAAAAATATACTACTGACACGTCAAACTAAGAAAATCCACACGAATACAAAAACAAATAAAACAAACAAACACGTCTACACAGGTGGGTATGTTCAGTTAGAAATGAATTTGTTGAAATTAGTGCTAAGCATGGATTAAGTAACGCATGTAACGTAACGGATAAGCACTGCAATGGTATGTCATTGTCAAGGCACAATACTGCGTTTACATACGTATATTGTGCAAGGTTAACCATAACGTGGCTTCAAAAATAAATAATAATAAATATTTCATGACGTATTTCTTTTATTATAAAGTTTAAACGTTTACGTTATGTAAATAACCTCCTGCAGATTTTGAGGCAATTTTCAACTACTTTTTGACACATATTGGGCAAAAACTTGCCGAATGTTGACATAGTAACAATGTTGAGGACATAGTAACATAGAAGGGAATGAGATAGCCGACGAGCTTGCTCTCTCAATCGTCCAATATTCCGATTGAGAGATCTGTGCAACCATCCATTGGCTATTTCATTGGCAAAATCCGCGTTTTCTACTGCGAGGTAGGTGGTAACAGATGGTCGAGAGAACCTGGTTGAAGAATCTCTATCTGGCCTGAATTCTCTCGCCGAAGAACTTAATAATAAGAGAGATTAAAATCATTGTGGGGATCAAAACACGTCACTGCAGGATTAAATCTTTCATTTAGAAATCGGACTCTAGCGGAGAGGATTACTGTCGTCTATATGAGCTAGAAACAATTGAATATATCCTCTGTAGATGTCCATGGCTGAGCGGCAGAAAACATAAACAGTTTGAAAGGTATGAAATTGATAATCTAGCTATCTTCTCTAAAATAGATCCCAATCAGATGCTAGGCTTTGTCAAAAATCTGGCATGGCTAAAATAACCATCTCTAGGCTCTCCTCTCTTCCACTCTGACTTTTTTCCCGTTTTCTTTTCAGGTATAAAGGATGATCACAATGGACAATAGTCTCCGAGTGGACGGTTGTTACTAAAGCATTATCTCCATAAATTTCGCTTAGACCGATAAAAACAGCCTATTGGTGCCAAATAGCATGTTCTTGGTGACCAATTAATATCGCCACGATGAGAAATTACTTGGCCAAGAAATGTCTCCTGCAATATAGCCGTATTCGATCAAGCTGTGTGGCATGTGGCAATGATGCATTTGCACGGTCTGAAGCCGCATTGGTATGATCCAATAATGTCATTGATCATCGATCAGTCGTTCACAGATCCCGCTGGATAGCACTTTATAATCACTGGGAAGGAGATTATTCCTCTATAGTTGGCACATATCGTCTTGTCTCTTTTTTTGTGCACGGGACACAGGATGCTGAGGTTCCAATTATTGAGCATGCATTCCTCCAGACAAATTGTACTAATCAGCTGGTATATGCTCCTGACCAGCATCTGCTCACTAGTATTGAATATTTCAGTTGGTAACCCATTGGAAATGACAACATAAATTACGATTAGATGGTGATTTAATGTAAATTTCTCCAAAATTTCCTACAAATCTCCTGTACTTAAATACACGTTACAGCAACGTACCAACTTGTCATGCTATACGTTTTCTACTAATTAAGAATATGATAGTGTTTGTTTTTTCATGTTCTCCTATTATGGGGTCACACTGAACATACTCATTTGAAAATTATAGTTGACAGTTGTTTTTCTTTTACCGTGTATAATTTTTATTTAATTTTCTTTCGTTTACTTACAAATTATTAGTTTTCTTTTTTATTTATTAAACAAATATTGAATTTTCTTTAAAAATATAAAAGAATGGTGAGTGATTGTTATTTGGATAATGTAGAAAAACAAATTCCTCTGCAGATTCTTATCTATTCTGTCGATGAAATCATTGACTAAATGCAACAGATAATAGTTATTATCATAAAAATAATTGTTTTTGTTTGTCGTTTTAGGCTCGCTACTTCAAGGAACAAGATATCGATGGTAAGTTATAGAAAAAGTTTTCAAATTGTTTTAACAATAACAATGATGACACAGTATACCAAATAGGAAAATTGAATATGGTTGTTAGGTGAAAGTTAGTGACATTGCGACATTATTGTGTGCCACCACCAACAATCACCACCTGTTTGTTTATTATGCTTACATATTGTATACATTTTAAACTAATTTGATTTTTCTCTATTGTCTGTTTTAGAATTCCGTGAATGCTTCTATTTGTTTGCTCGTTCCGGTCAAATTACAACATTGGATGAGTTGACCGTTATTATGAGATCGTTGGGTTTATCGCCCACCATACAAGAGCTGGTTGGCTATTTGAAAAAGAAAAATGGTAAAATGAGTTTTGCCGATTTCCTGGAAATCATGCATCAACACACCAAAGTGGAGAATTTACCTGACGAAGTAATTGCCGCCTTTAAGGCATCAGATACACACAATACTGGTTTAATTCCAGCACGTCAATTGCGTAATTTATTACAAACATGGGGTGAAGGTTTATCGGTTAGAGAGGTATGTTGTGTGTATAGTTACCATTAATATGTGCTACAAAATTATTTTATATTTCTCTTTAAAGGTTGATAACATCTTCCGTGAGGCTAATGTTGGCAACAACAGCATGGTACGTTATACGGATTTTGTTAAGATCGCATGTGCTCCAGTTCCCGATTACTATTGAATGCACAAAATGATCTGTAATCTACTGTCCAATATTATATACATTCCAAGTTCAAGCAGCTTTTTATTTTTTAAAAAAAAGTATATAAAAAAGTATATAGCTTTTAATTTATACCGTATATATTCAAGTATTTATATTCATTTTGAGAAGTTTTACTATTTATTTAAAGTATTTTTCTTCTAGATATTTATATTCAGATATTTTCAAATAACATATTTAAAAAAATATATTTAAAAATAATTGGATTTTTTTATTTCAAATTTAAGAATCGTCTATACCCAGTAAATATGTAATTATTTCGCAATCTGTGAAGAAATCTCGGACGAGTTCAATGAAGTCGAAGTAAAATTTTTTATTTTTTGAACAAGCCCGAGTTTTAAAGAAACATTTTAAGCAGGATGTTATATTTCAAAGTTGTATAGACGTGGTCATCTATAGAAATTAGAATGTTTGCTAAAAAATCAGAACGATATTCTCTTTAGAACTTTCAGATAAATTCGGTACGAATTCAAAAGAAAATTTTCCTGATAGTCCTAATTCGGAGAAAATTTTCGATATCCTTTTTGGAAGACCTCCTATTCATAGAAGATCTTTAGGAGGCCCTCCATTCCATAGAAAACATTTATAAGGTCCCCTATTCCATAGAAGATCCTAAGAGGGTCCTCCAATCCAAAGAAGACATTTAGAATCCAAAGAATATTTGGAAGGTCTTCTATCCATAGAAGACCCTTGGAAGGTCTTCTATCCATAGAAGACCCTTGGAAAGTCTTGTATCCATAGAAGACCCTTGGAATGTCGTCTATCCATAGAAGGTCTTCTATTCATAGAAAACCCTTGGAAGGTCTTCTATTCATAGAAGACCCTTGCAAAGTCTTCCATTCACAGATGTCTTTTTGAAGATTGTCTTCTATCTACAGATCTTTAGGTCATCTATCCATTGAAGACCTTTAAAAGGACTCCTATCCACTGAAGACTTAGCGGGTCTTACATCCACAAAAGACTACCAAGACATTCGATAGAAGACCTTTGGAAGATCTTCTATCTATAGAAGACCCTTCTATTTATGGAAGACCTTTGGAAGGTCTTCTATCCATAGAAGACACTTGGAAGGTCTTCTATCCATAGAAGACCCTTGGAAGGTCTTCTATCCACTTTTTTCTATCTCAAAAAGTTTTACATGTCTCTTTTCGCCAGAAGGTTCTTTATTCCTTCCAGAGAATCTTTCCTAATGATCTTCAAATGAAAAAAATGTGTTTTTAAATTTTAGTCATCTTTTTTTATTAAAAAAGAATAAGCTTGTATCATACATCGATAAACGTGATGTACTTTGGGTGTTTAGTTGGCAATGGTGACCTCAACTTCTACGCCAGGTTCAATGTTGATGGAGGTGATCTTCTTGACGATCTCAGAGGGAGAATGCAAATCGATGATACGCTTGTGGATTCTCATCTACAAATCAAAAAAGAAGAAAAAACATTTGTTAACATACGCCATCAAAAGAAAAATATTTAGAAACAAATTTGAAGTTGCAATTGTAAAACTCTGAGAGCCATAAGGAAGTTGGCAATCTTCCAAAGGGACTATGAGAGTTCGTTTGATCTAAGCAAATCACATAGATACTGGCCAAAGGAAAAAATAGCAGGCCCCAAAAGGACTTGTACACTAAAGCCGATATCAGATTTGCCAAACAAATTTGGCTTTTCTAAAAATATATATATGTTGATAACTTACCTGGAAACGATCCCAAGTCTTGGAACCTTCACCACAAGGAGTCTTACGGGTGGTGATGCGCAAAGTTTTGGTTGGCATGCGTACGGGACCCTAGAAAAATAAGAAATATGATTATTTTAAAACTTTCACACTAGAGCATATCTTAGCATTTCAATTAGTCTTTTGTTGTTGTAACTTGAATCATAAAAATACTTCCAATCCGTAAAAAAATTAAACTGGAATTAATGTCCAATTCAAGTTAAGGTTTTCTATAGCATTTAATATGACTAGATTAAGTTTTTTAAAGAAACAAAACCTCCAGGTAAATGCATACTCTACATACAACTACACATATCCCAACAACTTACCTTGACACGCAAGTTTTGGTTCTTGGCGCCATTGATCAAATCACGGCACACATTTTCCAAGGAGCGAACATTCCTGGAGGTCAAAGTGATACGGATGCGATGAACCGAGGAGGAATCAGCACCTTGGGGTTTCTCAATATCTTTGCCAGTAGCAGCCTATAAATAATCGACAAAAAAGAAAAAAAAAAAGTGAGGTTAGGTATTATTGTACACGTGTGTATAGGAATCAGACATAAAAAACACGAATCATATTTACCCATTGGGAGAAATATATATTCTCACGTTGGATTGTGTATTAATTGGATTTCTGGGATATTGATAATTACCATTTTATGTAGAAATCTGGTCGAGGTATTCAAATCTTCCAATTATTTTGAGCAGCGCTGAACCAGAGTTCTAGCCAGTGATACAGTAAAAAAAGAAATGGACGAGTTTTTCGTTTAGGGATAAGTAAGTCGATTTTCGACTAATCGATTTATCAGCTTTTTGTATTGAAAAATCGATATCGACTTTTGATCTATGAGAAAATCGCAAAGTGAACTTTTCTTTATAGTACGTTTACATTATACCAGATTTCGTTAACCCAGTGAGTTTGAATTATCAATTCCATTGTATATATGTCAAATAAATCCTGATAAAGTAGTTTAAGCCGGTAAAAAAATTCTAATTATTATTTACTTACTTAGCTGGCTTGTGACAGAACTTTCGTTCCATAAGCCGAATTTAAAAAAGATTTCCAGGCGTCTCGGTCTTTTGCGCAGTTTTTCCCTTTTGAAAGATCATATTCAGCAATGTTGTCTTCCACTTGATGTTTCCATCTTATTCGTGGCCTTCTCCGTGAACCATCAGCTGGTTCGCTTCTATATGCCTTTTGGGCCGGGGCATCTTCATCCATTCTCCCAACATGACATAGCCAACGTAGTCGCTGCAGCTCAATACGTCTAACAATGTCGATGTCCAAGAATAGATGGTATAGCCCATGGTTCATTCGACGGCGATAATCACCATCGACGCATATCGCCAATAGATCTTCCGGAGAATTTTTCTCTCAAACACTACAAGAGCTGTCTACTCTGCTTGCGCAAGTATCCATGCTTCAGATCCATACAACATCAAGGGTAAAATCAGCGTCCTGTAGAGTGTGAGTTTGGTCTGGCGATAGGTGGCCTTACTTTTGAGTTGCTTTCTCAGACCATAGTAGCATCTGTTGGCCAACACTATTCTCCTCCGTATATCAAAGCTGATGTTGTTCGACCCTTAATCCTGCAAATTCTTACTGAGTAAATATTACTGGGAAAGTAAACGAACGAACCTAACATCAAGGGTAATATCAGCGCCTGTAGAGTGTGAGTTTGGTCTGGCGATAGGTGGCCTTGCTTTTGAGTTGCTTTCTCAGACCATAGTAGCATCTGTTGGCCAACATTATTCTCCTCCGTATTTCAAAGCTGATGTTGTTCGACCCTTAATCCGAAATCGTTGGTGCTCCGAGAGGTCCTTTCCTACTTTAACTGCTGACAGTTAAAGTTATCCTGCATAGCCCTATTAATTTTGCAGGTATGCGAAACGCAGACATGGCGTTAAACACCTCTTAACCGATAGGGCTGTCGAATGCGGTTCAGAGGTGGGTTTTTTCCAGGATCTGGCGCAGAGTTTAAAGTTTCTGGCACAGCCTTAGCCTTTTTGATAAGCAAGACCAGATTTTAAATATTGGCCAAGCTGTAAAATTTTACTTTCATTGAGGCATACATAGGTTAAGTGGGCGTTAATTTTGGATAAATATTGCCATGTTCAATAGATTTTAAGGGTCCAGAGGCCCCAACGATTCTTTATTCTTGTGCCAGGAAGTGCCAGCCAAAGCTTTCATAACTTTATTCCCAGCTTTAGCCTTTTGGTTGATGTAGTTTGAATGCGAGGAGAAATAAAGGAGGTTATCGAAGACCACCTCATGGATTTTCGGATTATGGACGGTGGGAATGCGCCTACTCGCGTACAGGAAGTGAAAAGTGATACTGTAGACTTTGCAGTGGATAATTTTATATTGTGCTCCCCGAAGAATTGTTAATGGTGGCTAAATAGTTGTAATTTTTTGCAATTTTTGGCAACTGAAGTATTTAATAACTATAAAAAATATATAGGTATTTTATTCGCATTTATAAAGTCCGAAATTACAAAAAATAGAACAATAAACTTTAAATATAATAATAAACATATCTTCATCTTCAAAAACATTTACTTCTTGACGAAGATTTACTACGATCATTTCGGGAATTTTCACTTTCATCACAACCCATTACAGTTTCATCCACACTAACATCATCATCGGGTATTTCCTCATCACTATCATGGCTGCTGGCCGTTCGCATCGAGGCAGACTGAAAATAGACACGAGAACAGAACAGTTATTTTATATGTTCGCAAGTAATTTATATTGATCTGAACTACACATACCGGTGTTACCAAATCATCGCCATGTATATCCTTGTTTTTCAAATTACCCATTGTAAAGACAGAAGCACATTTATTAGCCGTCAATAACGCCTTGACACGAAAAACATAATTTTCAACAGTTTCCCGCAAAAATGGTATTTGACTGACAATGGCTGTGTTTTTAATGGCCTAAAGAAAGGACGAAATAAGAGATTTAGTAGACGAGAGGTTTCATTATAAAAAATATTATAGAACCTTACTTTTGAGTGGCAACATAAATGATGTAAATATCTGGTTGTTGTTTGCATTGTCTTAATCAAATCACAAACACGATCTGGATTTTGTCGTAAATATTTTTCAAACACCGGCAAACCATGTTGTAAGACAAGTTTTAAATACAAGTGGGAATACTGGGAATATAAAAAGTGGTTTAGAATTTTTTAAATAAAACAGATAAATAAAAAATCTTGTAATTTACCTTAACAAATATTTGGAAATTTCTCGGAATATCCAAACCTTGTACAATTTCCAATAACATATTTAATAACTTGCAACTGGATTCCCATAATTCAAGTTTGTCATTTGATTTTAGGGCATTGGCGGTAATTCTATCATTCATCGAGGTAATGAGAATTTCACATAAACCACGGAAGAACAAGGGGAAATTGGCTCTTCAAAAAACATAAATAAAATTATGACCTTTTCACATTTTTATACTACACATACTTTTTGAAATTTGGAAAGGATTTAAGAGATGTATCCTTGCCATTTAGATGTTTTGATTCCTCACTAACGGCACGTAATATTTCCCGTTGGCGCTTGAAATCGGAGTCACGCAGGAAACCTTTAACTAATTCATCCAAATAGATATTACACTGGGCACCTTTTTCCAATAAACCCTCATAGTTAAACCATTTGCGGCACAACAAAGTGCGACATAGGGAACCTAATAAAAATAAACAAATAATTAAATTGCAATACCAAAATTAAGATTTCTGTACTTACGTATTTCATGCAATTGCTTATCTTTGGCATCTTTGTTGGAGAGTATATTAAGATTGATCATCAATTGATAGAGATAAACAGCCGATTTTAAATCTACCACTGATTTTTCATAATTTATAAAAGTGCTGAAAACTTCCGCCGTTATAATGCCAACCGATTTTGTTTTTAAACTTTGGGCTTTTTTACGATCCAAACACACCAAAAGGGATTCTAGTGGGAATAAAGAATTTAAAAATTTAATTCGCTATTATTTTTTTTGTATTAGAATTATTATACCTTTCAATTTATTGATACGTTGTTCACTAACAAACCACTCGGACCAGGAAAAATATGCTACCAATAATCGTAAACATAGACCGAAACAAACCTTTAAGAGATTAAATTCTTCGGTAAACAAATCAGCATGGCTGTAAACTCGTTGAACTTCCTCTAATTTGGTATTGATGGCATCTGAAAGCTGTAAGGAAAAAATATTTGGAAAGCAAAATTGTCTTTAAAAACCAACGATTGTATTTAGTCATTAAAAAAGTATTTTGAAAATTAAAAAAAATTTGTAAAAATGTACGCGCTTTATTTAGTCGTGAAAAAATATTTTTTAAAAATCCACGGTTGTATTAAGCCATGATAAAATATTTTTAAAAAATCCACGCTTGTATTTAGATACGAAACTATTTTCCTCAAAATTTGGTGGCTGCTGCATATATAGGGGAGACTGGGGCACCTTCGGCACTTTTTTTTTAGAGCTCTATATCTCAGTACTTATTCAACATATATAACAACTTTATGGCTGATTGTTGTCCTCTGACACTTAATTATAAAAAATAGTACCAAAAAGATATAAAAAAATAGTATTAGTTAAAAAATTTTACAGTTTTGTAAAAAAAGTCAAATTCGCCGAATGTGCCCCAACCCGGGGTAGCTTCGGCATTTGATGGGGCACATTCGGCACCATAGTCATAGCCGGGTAATTGTCATCGCTATCAGTCTGTTTGAAATTCTGATCCTCTAAAAGCTCTATTTGGTTTTAATACGCCACACAATGTTTGAATTATAGGGCTTTATTTTCTAGTGGCGGACGTTTTCATCTCAAGGTCGCACACACCATCAGAAATAGGGGTTTTCTATCGCATTTTAGTCAATACAAGCACGTATGAACTTATATATGCAATTTCGAACCATATTAAATGATTAGTTTTAAAGACAAACTCAAAAACATTCTATGGAAATAATATTGCACAATCTGTATATGGCCGAATGTGCCCCACATTAAAATGCCGAATGTACCCCGAATGTACTTTTTATAGTTTTTTTCAGAAACATCTATAAAAATACAAAAACCCATGTATCTAAATAAGGTTATTAACTAGAAATTTCAAACTTTGTGTCAGTTATTTATTTCGATATTCGATACCTATGTATCGAAACTAGTGATGTACGGTGAGAGCTTATTATCGAAAACGCGATTGCCGAAGGTGCCCCAGTCTCCCCTACATCATCATGGAGTTCACTGTTCAAATATGCAGTACTGACATCGATTTGATGTAACAACATTGCTTCTTTCACAACCAGAGCCAATAAAATTGGAATTGTTGAGTAGCGAACGACAGGTGAAAATATCTTGTTGAAATCTATTCCGTATCGTTGGTGAAAGCCTTTGGCTACTAGGCGCGCCTTATACCTCTCAATTTCACCATTTACATTCTTCTTTATGGCATAGAACCACATACATGGAAGAGCTTTTTGTCCTCTTGGAAGATCCACCATCGACCAAGTCTTATTCTTGCAAAGAGCACGATATTCACATTCCACTGCCTTTGCCTTAGCTGTCGATGAATATCCAACCATTATAAATCGCCTGCCTTTAGCATCGAATTTGGATTTATTCCCAGACTTATCTAAGGCCACAGCACATGCTCCAAAGATCATGAATTGTTGAACGCTAGGCTTTCTTCCACACAATTCTTCATCCGGCGTTTTGTTTTCCAGCTTGCTTGGTAGGACACCTATTTCTAATATAAACGGCGGTATTTATTGCCTCTGCCCACAAAAATGGGTTCACATTCGCATACACCATAATGGATCTGGCCATTTCCACACGGCACGGTTGGCCATCTCGGTTACCCAGCTTTTTCCAGGCTTTATGCGACGTTTTCGCTTTCCTTGTAAGCCACATGTGTTGGTTTAACATCCAGGAAAGTAGACGCGAGGGCCTATTCGTCTTCGGTTTCCCATTTGGATATTGCCGCTTTATTAACCTCCTTCTTTGTTTTTCAGCATCTGGACTGACCACAGGTCATAACTGCTATCGTCCAACTTATCTATTTGAAGAACTGATGCACTCATTTTTCTCTCCTTTCATTTAACATTTAATTTTCAATAAAAAAGCTTGTAATTAGTCGTTAAAAATGTATATTTAAAAATGGGTGGTATTTTGCCGTTAAAAATATTTTTAAAAAATCATAGTCTTTAAAAGAAAATATTTTTAAAAATCGAAGCATGTAGGCAGTGTTTGATAAAATGCTTTTAAAGCATTCACGTTCTAATTTGTTTTTAAAAATTCACACTTCACCAACTTGCATAAATAGTCTTTGAGAAATATTTTTTACAAATTCACACTTTCAGATAGTCCTTGGGAAACATTAAAAAAATCACGGTTGTAGATCGCGATGGAAAAATATTTTTTTTTATCTAAAAAAATCCATGTCTTGACCAAATATTTTTACAAAAATCATTCTTAAAATAATTGGGAAAATATTTAAGTAAAATCTACGTACATAATAGAGAAGGTATTACTACTTACAATTTCCAAATCCTTGCTAATTATGTAAATAAATTCCGCAAGATCACACATAAAATGACCAGGTTTAGCAATGTATTGTAGAGATTGTTCAGATTGGAATTTTTGTATACCAACGACAGACTCCAATTTGCTAACAATATCCGTAAGAATAAATCGTAACTCTAGGAGACCCATTTCATTGCCCAGACATTCCACGGGCAGGGGATATTTAATATTGAATTTTTCTTTTAATACCAATATTATGTTGGTATCCATTTGCCTATGAAAAAAATTAAATAATTTTTAAAATTTACTCTAAAATAAATATTTTTGTGTATTACCTATAAATTTCCTTGGGCCCATAGAGATTTTCAAAATTGTTTTTAAACGATGTTTTAGTTTTATTAGCTCCCGCCAATTTACTGGTTATATCAGCTGGCCTTGTTGTTGTATCATTGATATTTGTATCATCCAAATTCATTGTTTCATTTTCGGTGATTTTAGTTTTATTTGTTGCTTTTCTGTTAGCGGCACCCGTTGTTGCTGCGGCCGGCCGACCTCTGCCTGTGGCACCACTTATTGGTTTATTACATGAATTTAAACTATCACTTATGAAATGACATTGTGGTGGTATATAATCACGTGGAGCCTTCTGCAATAGATGTCTTATTTTTTCTTCAATACTAATCAGATCGGCTAAACGCTGAAGGACTTTTTTACGTATCATTTCTTCACGTTGTGTTGCAAATGAACTGACGGTTTCACGTATCCAATTGACACAATGAAAATACATATCAAGAATTTTCTTTTGCATCGGCTCATCATAATCATAGAATATGGCATCCAAATTGGGATCATCAAAGAAACTGGGTAGGATAATGGCACAACCCAAAAGGGCATTGATAATTTCTAAACTTCCCTCATAGCGTTGCATATGTAGGACACGTACTAAATTGAATAGGGGTGATAAAACCAGTATCGATGATATTGCTCTAGAAAATGAAGATTTTTATTTTAAAGTCAATTTTGAATCTTGTGTCACTCACTCATTGCTTGGCTTCAAAACCAATTCAGCAATGTTTATGGCAATTTGTGGCAATTCACTTTCTTCGGTATTTGCATCCTGAGGGGTATTTATACATTTCATATAAACCAGATTGATACCCCTATAAATAGTAAGAAATAATAGAAAAATCTATAAAATTTATTGGTTATAATATGTATCATTCTTACTGTATTGGTTCAGGATTGTGTTCAGCCACAAAACTATTTTGAAAATAATAGGTCATTAGCTCGCATAACCATATTACAAATGGTATATCTAAAAGTAAACCATTTGCCCGATCATCTCCGCCTGCGGAGCATACATTTGCCAATTCATCATAGAATAAAGCCAAACATTCGGGTGAATTCATGGTCGAGGATTGTATACGAACTAAATATATATTGAATAAAAAAATGATAAAAATTACAATTTATAGGAATAATAAAAAATATTATTATATAAATATTATATAAAAATATATTATATAAAAATATTTATTTTTTTTGGACCCGTTTGGCTATGGTTTTTCATTTTCAATTTTTAATATTTATTGTTTCAATATTTATTTGGATTCTCTATTCTTTAATTCCCTGGTGATGATTGGGGAATCCAATCGAAATATTGTACACAATAAATATATAAACAATTTTTACACCATTCACCAGGGTACAGGGTATTATGTCTTTGTGCATATGTTTGTAACAGGCAAAAGGAAACGAGATAGACACATGGTTCCTTTTGAGAATATGCATAGAATCACTTTCTAAGTCGATTTATGCATGTCCGTCTGTCTGTCCATGTTAAATTGTAAACAAAGTACAGGTCGCATTAATGATTCGAATTTGATGAAATTTGGCACAGCTCATTTATTTGGCCCAAGGACTAACCCTATTGAAATTGGGAAAAATCGGTTGAGATATAGCTCCCATATATATTTTCGTCCGATTTAAGGTAAATGGTGCACCAAAGTTCATAAATATGCTTCGATTTACACGAAATTTAGCACAGCGTACTGAATTAAGCCTAGAATAATGTGTGCAAAGTTTCATGAAAATCGGTTCAGATTTAGATATAGCTTCCATATATATTTTCGTCCGATTTAAGGTAAATGGTGCAACAAAGTACCTATATATCTTTCGATTTGCACGTACTGAATAAAGTCTAGAAAGATGTGTGAAAATCGGTTCAAATTTACATATAGCTCCCACATATAAAAGTCTTTATATCTTTCGGTTTGCACGAAATTTGGAACAGCGTAATGAATTAGGTCTAGAATGATGTGTGTTAATTTTCCTGAAAATCGGTTCAGATTTATATCTAGCTCCCATATATATTTTCGTCCGATTTAAGGTTAATGGTGGGCCAAACTCCCTAAATAACTTTCGATTTACACGAAATTTGGTTTAGCACATTAAATTAAGTCTATAATGATGTGTGCTAAGTGAAGATCCGTTCAGATTTAGATATAGCTCCCATATATAATATTTGTCCGATTAACACGAAATTTTGCACAACGTATCAAATTGAGACTTGAATGACGTTATTCGGTTTTGTTGAAATTGGTGCACATGCAGCCATAGCTTCCATATGTATTTCGAACGGTTGTCTGATGGAAATTAAATTTTTTACAGTCCGGCGTGTCGAATTGCTAGAAATCGTTTTCCATAAATTTGTCCCATGGTACGCAGACGACTCTAAATCTGCCCGAATGAAATTAAATTTATCATAGGTTACAGAAAGACATGAGTATGTTCCTTCGAGTGGTGAAGGGTATCATATAGTCGTCCCAGTCCGACTTTACTAATTTCCTTACTGGTTTTTATTTACAAGAACCCTATAGACAAATGATTCCAAAAAATATTAAAAATTAAAAATACATACCCATATAATTTGCAGCAATTTTTCCTCTACCATCTGGTAAATCACTAACCGTATTAAATGTTGTTTCGAAATCGTCAGCCTGTATTACAGACTGTTCTACACGTGCTATACAATCGATTAATTGTACAGCACTTATTATACCTTGTTTTTTAACACTAAAATTCATTTTTTTTTTAAAGAAAATAAAACAAAATTTAAAAATAAAATAAAAAATAGTACTTACGAACTATTACGATTAATTATTTGCTTCTTAATTAACATATCTATTTGATCTTGCAGTGTTGTACATTCATCCAATGTAGGTGCAGGAAATGCTATAGACGACAATAATTCCATAACAATACGAGTCTGAGATAATGACATTTCATGAATGTGATCTAAAAAGGGCTAGATAATAGATTTGGATTATATGAAAATGAGTTACAAATTTAATATAGTTTAAACTTTTATTTTTTACCAATAATAACATGCCCCAGTTGTGTATAATTTTAGGATATAATTGCCATAAATCACGTAACATTCTTAGTGCAAAATTTGTGGTATTTTGATTCGATTTTTCACAAGTTAATTCCAATAACTTTTTCAGGATAAGTTTTTGTACAGATTCGGATATGTCAAAGAATGAGCTGTGAATAAAAAGAAAAATAAAAACTAATTATAAATATTTCGACCCAAATCGATTATAACGACGATCAAAGAACCGGCAAAATTAGTCACTATGAGGAATATGTCGTTATATACGATAACACATAAAGGGTAGAAACATTCTGGGGACTTTGGATATAGTCGTTACAACCGATATGTAGTTATAACAATTTTTTGACTGTAAATTAAAATATTGTGTTTTCAAACTTACCCACACGCAACTCGGGCAAAATCAACAACGGATTTATGTTTATCTCTCAGAAATCCATTTATAATTTGCATTAGAATATGCCAGTGATGTTCCAATACTGGTGCATATCTATTACGTATATCTTGTACCATAGATGTTGATATTTGACGGACATGTTTTCGTAACTTGGAAGGTAATAAATGTTGTTGTTATTTTTTGTTAATGAGGAAATTGCGATTTTACTTACAATATTTTCAATATACAATGAATTGTCTTCTCTTATGTGTATTAATAGCAAAACTATAATAAAATCGATTGCCCTATAAAAATTAGATTTAAATTATAAATACATATTAAAAAAAACACTACGATTTCTACTTACTTAAAATTTGATGATTTTATGGAAGCTATAGTTTTCTGCCATATGCCATAGAATTTTTTGGAACGTGTAAAACCCTGTTCTATATAACTAAATAATTCTAATTGTAATTGTTTATCGTTGGCCAATGCTGTTACATCGTTCTCATTCCAATTAAGAATTTCACGTAGTGTAGTGACGAGCTGTATAAACAATATTAAATTGAAATAATATATTTTTGTGATTTCTATGTCGTTAACTCTCACCTCTTTCATGTTATCCTCATTGTCTTCTGCAAGAATTTTCAATAGAAATTTGACCAAAAGGGGGAGAGTCTGTATAAATAAACAGTTTTTGCATAAATTTCATATTCTAAAATGGAGAGATTCATTATAATGCACCAACCTTTTTAGGGCACTGCCCATCCTTTATATATGCCAATATCTTTGCTCTCAACTTTTCTTGCAAGTATGAAGATAGACTTAAATTGGTCAGTGTTTGGATATTTACACTTTTAAATAACTCCGAACTATTTGGCATGTTATCACTGAAATGAATAATAATATAGTTGTGACTATACAATATTTTCGAAAAAAGTTCCTATTTTTTAAATTTTACATCTAGAAATTATTTCGATTATTTTCCGCTATTTAGTATAATTCTCCTGCATTGCACTTACATTAACATTTGTGCAAATTCATCATGTTTATTTGGTGCAATTATTATTTCAGCACTTGATATAATATCCCATTTAGATTGATCCAAACATTTTTCAAATATTTTCTTAATACGATCATAGATGATATTACTATGTGTACAGGCAACATATTGCAATTGTGCCAACATAAGTGGCAGCAGTGGAACATTTATATTTGACGTGAATGTCGGTTTTTCACATGCAGTTTTCTCGATTTTATCCAATAGTAGATCTAATACACGATCACGTAAACCATCAATCATAAAAAAGTTCACAATCATACTATGTTGCGATTGATAAATACTCTCCTCGCCTGGTATACTTATTGTGCAACCTGTTAATAGCTTCAAGGCAAATTTTGTCCACGAATCGCGTAGACCATTGCGGAACATCTCGTAGTTGTCTTTGAAATTTTGATTTCTATCCAGTAGATCACGTAATTTGCTAACAAAAGCAACATGATCACAAGCTGTAAAGGCAATTTTTTTTTATAAAAATTAATTCTCTAATCAAATTAATTTTCATATTACTTACCCAAAACAAAATTATCTCCCTCATCCAGTTGTACACCGGCCTTCATTAGCACAAGCTCAAAATATGTATTTGGTGGTCTCTGGGAACTGTTCAGACGTGACTGGGTCCTACCCAATGTAGCTGCTATAGTGCTGCGTTGTGATAAATATCTCTGAGTGGGCTCCTGCGATGCTGGAATATTCTCTTCACTGCTATACATTTCTTCAACATTTTGTACGTTACTATTATCATTTGTTTTATCATTATCATCCAGTAGACGCTGTAATGGAGGCATATCATGATGAAATTTGAATAAAATTGAGGGGGCTTGCGCGCCTTTCTTGAATTGCCTCACTTACCGGTATTTTAATTGTGGAATTTTCGTCAATTGTGTTAAGAGCTCGTTTGCCATCATTCGAGTCTGTACTTTTGGTCCTTGCCGCTTTTCCAAATTTACGATTTCGATACATTTTTATGCTGTATTAATTTCAGAAGCTAAAATAAAAACGACGACTGAAAAAATTGAAAAACGTTCCACCTGCTAACGAATGGGAGGAGAAGACAAAATGGCCGATAAAGATGAACTCAAAATGGTATAACCGAAAGTTTACGAATGAGGTGGGATAGAGACTAAATGGAAACCGTGTTGTTTACGAATGAGACGAATGAGGTTTAGGCAAATTATGATTAGGGATTAGTAAATCGACTTTCGACTAATCGATAAAGTCTAAAAGTTCTAAAAGTCACAATGTCGACTTTTCAACCTGTGTGAAGTTAGCGACATCGCTAACTTTCGATAACAAAATTTTTATCGAAATTACAGGGTGACACAGAACATCACAATTTCACATTTAACACTATTTTTATCAACAGTGCTTTCCAACAGAGATAGCGCAGAATATTATAAAATAATATTTTTTAAAATTATTAATAAAAATGTTAACATAATTCAGTAGAAATGAAAAATAATAAAAAATACGAAAATGTTGAAACATATTTTATTATAATCTAAATTTTTGTTATTTGAATTTTGCCTTGTAAGGGCAGTGATCATTTGAAAGTAATTTTTAAGTGGTTATTTATACTCTTTCGAGTCGAGCTTGATGATCTAAGTTTTGCAATGAAAAGGAAAGCCAGGAGAAGAACCTACGTACCCACCATTATGCGACGCGTTTCGCCGTTGGTTAAGCGGCTCATCAGGCATATTGGGCTATGTGGCTTTACAAATGTCGTACGTTGATAACTTGTATTTATTCACCCTGATGCGAAACTTGGATATGCGAATTAAATTCAAATTTGTCAAAGTTCGACATTTGTCTTCATTCTAGGAACAGTCCTTTTCAAAGCAGATTTTTGTTGTAGCGATGGATAATTAATCCACACACCTACAATTGCTTCCTGGTATACACATGTTTTTGTGCAACCGTTTTGGAAGTGTTGATGGCTCAGAACGTTAAGCGGTCCTTGGCAACATTTGTGTTGCTCTGAGTTAATTGACCCTACGGTTAAGGTTCGCTTAATTGAACCCTAGTCAAAAATATTTCATTTCATAGTAAGCCGTGCTCGGCTGAAATTAACTTTTGTTATTTGAATTTTGCCTTTTAAGGGCAGTGATCATTTGAAAGTAATTTTTAAGTGGTTATTTATTCTCTTTCGAGTCGAGCTTGATGATCTAAGTTTTGCAATCTAAAATTTAAGTATTACTAAATCACAAACATTTTAATCCAGTGAATCAGGAGAGATGTCCGCCTCTGGAAGCCTCCCTATACAAACCTCGAACATAGTGATGGTACCAAATGAAAGAGGGAGTCTCTGCGAGTATTTTGGTATGCACCATATGTTCAGATTCAGTTTTTTGTAGAACAAAGTTGCTGAATTTCCGATTTCCAACTGGTGGTCAGGACACCAAAATGGCTCTGGAAGCCTCCGTATACAAACCTCGAACAAAGTAAGGGTATCAAACGAAAGAGGGAGTCTCTGCGAGTATTTTGGTATGCACCATATGTTCAGATTCAGTTTTTTGTAGAACAAAGTTGCTGAATTTCCGATTTCCAACTGGTGGTCAGGACACCAAAATGGCTCTGGAAGCCTCCGTATACAAACCTCGAACAAAGTAAGGGTATCAAACGAAAGAGGGAGTCTCCAAGAGTAGTTTGGTATGCACCATATGTTCAGATTCAGTTTTTTGTAGAACAAAGTTGCTGAATTCCTGATTTCCAACTGGTGGTCAGGACACCAAAATGGCTCTGGAAGCCTCCGTATAGAAACCTCGAACAAAGTAAGGGTATCAAACGAAAGAGGGAGTCTCTGCGAGTATTTTGGTATGCACCATATGTTCAGATTCAGTTTTTTGTAGAACAAAGTTGCTGAATTCCTGATTTCCAACTGGTGGTCAGGACACCAAAATGGCTCTGGAAGCCTCCGTATAGAAACCTCGAACAAAGTAAGGGTATCAAACGAAAGAGGGAGTCTCTGCGAGTATTTTGGTATGCACCATATGTTCAGATTCAGTTTTTTGTAGAACAAAGTTGCTGAATTTCCGATTTCCAACTGGTGGTCAGGACACCAAAATGGCTCTGGAAGCCTCCGTATACAAACCTCGAACAAAGTAAGGGTATCAAACGAAAGAGGGAGTCTCCAAGAGTATTTTGGTATGCACCATATGTTCAGATTCAGTTTTTTGTAGAACAAAGTTGCTGAATTTCCGATTTCCAACTGGTGGTCAGGACACCAAAATGGCTCTGGAAGCCTCCGTATACAAACCTCGAACAAAGTAAGGGTATCAAACGAAAGAGGGAGTCTCCAAGAGTAGTTTGGTATGCACCATATGTTCAGATTCAGTTTTTTGTAGAACAAAGTTGCTGAATTTCCGATTTCCAACTGGTGGTCAGGACACCAAAATGGCTCTGGAAGCCTCCGTATACAAACCTCGAACAAAGTAAGGGTATCAAACGAAAGAGGGAGTCTCCAAGAGTAGTTTGGTATGCACCATATGTTCAGATTCAGTTTTTTGTAGAACAAAGTTGCTGAATTTCCGATTTCCAACTGGTGGTCAGGACACCAAAATGGCTCTGGAAGCCTCCGTATACAAACCTCGAACAAAGTAAGGGTATCAAACGAAAGAGGGAGTCTCCAAGAGTAGTTTGGTATGCACCATATGTTCAGATTCAGTTTTTTGTAGAACAAAGTTGCTGAATTTCCGATTTCCAACTGGTGGTCAGGACACCAAAATGGCTCTGGAAGCCTCCGTATACAAACCTCGAACAAAGTAAGGGTATCAAACGAAAGAGGGAGTCTCTGCGAGTATTTTAGTATGCACCATATGTTCAGATTCAGTTTTTTGTAGAACAAAGTTGCTGAATTTCCGATTTCCAACTGGTGGTCAGGACACCAAAATGGCTCTGGAAAATCAAAAATTTATATGGTGCAAAATACATCTAATTTCGTAATCTTATTATCCCATTTGAAATTTTTGAGAAATCGAAGCCAAAAGTCAAAAACTCAGTTTTTTACTATGTTCAAAGGTGTCCCACCTGTGGTATTTTACGGAAATTTATAATAACTTTTTTTGTAGTAAATATATACGAAAGAAAATATATTAGACATGTTTGAAATGATTGTTGGAATGTTTATCGAAAGAAAACTATCACTGAATTCTTCCTGCGCCCTTACAACCAAAAAATGAAAAGTTTACAATTGCAGTGCGAAAACATAGTCACTCATGTAAATTTTGTCGACCACTGAAAAAGCTAGCCAAAATGGCTTACGCAGATAAAGAACAAGATTGGCACATAAAAAATTTAGGTTGCGGGTCGGGAAAATTTTAAATCCCCCTTATTTCTTACCCCATTTAATATTAATTTTGTGTATTTTAGGAAAATTTGTAATCTTTTAAAACTATATCGATGTCTTTGCCCAAGCTAACTTTGTTCATTTTTTAATTCAATATATTTAAAAAATGTTGAAAATTGCCTTAGTTTTTAAAAGATACAAAGGGAAGACTTACAGCCTGTTTTTGTAAATGTAAAATGTCCATTCGTTCGTCGAAAAAACGAACGATTACTCATTTTGGTTTTCGCAAACAAATTACCGGTTGTAGTGAGTGAGAAATAGGAAAGAGCTTTTGGTATTCGTATTTTTTTGGTTTTTGTTATACAAAACGGTGCGTTATTTACGAACAAAAATGTCAAAAACAAACGAAGAGAAAATACCATTCGTTTAAAAAATAATAATAAAGAAAACTATTTGTTCATTACAATTTGTGTGTTGTTAGTGAAAAGAACGTAACAAATATGGAAAATTCTGATGAAATATATAAGAAGAAATGGTTTGTAAAAAATTATATATACCTATGAAATGTAAAAAATTATATTGAATTGTTTGAACCCCTAGCAACAAAAGGACAACGATTGCCCAATTCCAAAAATTGGTTGATCTCATGGAACTTTACCCACAATTAGCAACTGGCCGTTCTGTTTTCGGATCCAATAAATTTGAAGTGGATAACAAGTGGAATAATGTTGCTGTATCATTAAATGCCATAGGTATTCTCCTTTGGGGAATATTTTGCTTTTCTTTATAATTAAAATTAATTGCAATCGTACCAAACATTTTGAATTTTCTATTTTGACACTTTTTATGTAAAAAAAAAACTGTTTGTAAACAATAAACAGAGTTACCCTCATTTTGCAATAATTCTATTGGAAAATTAGCAACAAGATACCAAAAGAAACACTTTGGCACTAATGGTTAAAAACGAATGAAAAAGCTCAATCGTTTCTAGACGAAAGCTTTTACAATTATTACAAAAACCAAATTTTCGACGTATACGTTTTAATACGAACGATACGTGTGACTGCCGGAACAAATTACAAAAACAGGCTGTTAATCGCACGACTCTGAATTTTAGGTATGTGATCATAACATGATGATAACATTTGTAGATGCAAGAAACCCAGGGGCCAATCACGATGCATTTATTTGGAAAAACAGTACTGCAGAACAATACTATAAAAATCAATTTTTGAATGGCAAAATAAATACTTGGCTTTTAGGTGAGTGTGTACAACTTTTGCTTGACTATACATATTTGCATCATAATAATATATGTTTTGTACAATAGGGGATTCCGGCTACAAACTAATGCCTTACATGATGATTCCATACACAAATCCTACCGAGAGACACGAAGCTAAATTTAATGAAAGACATGCCAAATTACGGAACGTTATTTAGCGTTGTTTTGGCGTCTTGAAAAATTGTTTTAGGTGCATTATTGGCTCCCGAGGATTATTCTACAGCCCGCGGAAAACGACCAAAATTGTCAACGCTGTTTGTGCACTTCATAACATGTGCATTTATTTTAAACATTCCTGGGAGGCAGATCCAAATATGGATTGATCAGATAACAGTAATCCTATTGTTGTCGATCCATTGAACTCGGAATCAAATGAGTTATCGCTAAATGCAA